TATGAATTTGAGTCGTTCCGGTTACGAAGACTGCTTTGTCGTGAAAATCTGGGTTTTTGTTGTTGTTGTTGTAGCGGCTACTAAGCCCCGCTCGGATAGGTTCATCCGTCAACGTTGTCGTCTATTTCAGCTAGGGGGAGGAAGTGTGCGACTTCCACAGGGTCTGTCCATAGGGACAGGAGCGTCAGCTGAGTGGGGTTCTCAGGGCATGTGAAGAGGTGCCGGAAGTCATGTGGCGACTCTCCACATGCCGGGAATTGGTTGGGCACATCGTCATTGATTCTGCTCAAGTAAGAGTTTAGCCTGCTGCAATAGCCAGAGAGGAGTTGGGCTACTGTAGTGCGGGTCTCCCGAGGCAGATAAAGTTCTATCCCGTCCACGTCAGGTGGTTGTGTGCCTAGAACGGCATTGACAGGGCGAAGTCTACATAACTCGAGACTGTTACCCTGTGAATACCGTTCAGGGCCTGTCGGTAGGTTGACGGGTCCAGATGTTGTTTAATAAACCTCTGGACTTCGTCCGTCAGTTCGTAAAGATGCATCTTTACCTCCTGACGTGCCTTGGCGAGGGCTCTTCCGCAAGCAGCTGTCCGCTGGGATGGCCGGTTCTACGTACCGGAATGACTCGGGTTTTACCCGACCATGGGCTGTTGTTTCGGCGATCTAACCCCGTTTAGGTCGGCGAAATCCATCAAACGTTGAAAATCTGGGTCGTTCCCGCTGCTTGTTTTGTCTATATATGGTATGGTTTCAAGTTAGCAGCACACCTTGTCCAAAAGCTTGGGCTCGAAGAGGTTCTCTTTTATTGGGATAGATTTAATAGTGACGCTCAACATCATTACCCATAGGCGTAGGCCTCACGATTGGCAGCTTCTCTATGACGCATAGGCAGGCAGTATGTGTGAATCTGCTAGGTTTGAAGACAAGCTATTAAAGACCCAGGCCTAAGAAATTTCGCCCTACTAACCCTACTATGCTAGCTTTGAATAGATCTGTCGATATTCCATGTACTTGTAGTTTTTCAACCGCATCTAGCTGCCCCCAAAACGTATTGGTCGGATCGGGACGGCAGCTTCTGATTTTACGTTTTTTCAATGAATTTATGTGGTTTTGTATCCTGCACGTATTAATTCAATGAAGTGAGTACTGTATGCCGATTGCAATTTTTTTTTTTTAATAAAATCTACACAAACATAACACGAAAAGATAAAAAGTTTGCTATCTACTCCTCTACTATTTGTAAGATATCGACGACCTATTTAACTATTAACGATTCGAATATCAAAGTCTTACATTTATAACTACAACTGGCATACTCGGTTCATATACATACATACATATGTAAGCTGTACAAAAAATACTATGTACTTTTTGAAGATGCTATTTGGTTTTTTTGTGTCAAATTTCCACCACTAAAACTGAAGTTTTAAGGGCCCTTATTGGCACCAAAAATTAGCCACGCCCGTTTACTCTAATAAAATACTTGACACAATCTTGAGCTGGTAATTACAAAAACGCCACAGGGCCGTTTTTACAGTGACGAGACTCCTATTCGGCAGTTAACTACAGGTTTTTAATACAAAAAGTGAAAATTAACTGCCGAATTTGAGCTAAACCCTCACCGCCAAAATGGCACACAGAAACTTAAATAAACATAATTCATATTCACAAAAAAATGACGCAGTCCCAGGGTGTAGAAAGTGAGTTAATTAAGTAAGCATAGCATGCAATTAGGCGCAAAAGCCCACTCAAGCTGTTGGTCATTCACATTTATGCTGAGCCCTGTGCTGGCTAGTATTTATTTGATATGCCATAAATGTTGGAGGAAAAGGAAACCATAATAACATGTCCTGCAGACAACGTATATCCTTTCATACGAGTAAGTACACTTTAAAAACCAAGCCAAGGCTCAGTTATTACACATAGTAGATACAATATATATGTACACATACATACATACAGTGTATTATATGTATGTACATCTATTAGCACCGGCATCCTGCTGTGTTGATATATTTCTGCCGGCACATCGGCACCTAAAACCAGCACTAAATTTGCTATAAACTCGTTACACTCATCATCTTCAATTAAAACCCTGTCAGCCGCCCACATCCTTTCATCGTATCTGTCGTTGAATTAAGCGAAAAACACTTGTGACAAGTGGTTTTTAATGTCACTTCACTCGTTGCAGCCCCCTCATCATATGCTCTGCATTCATTTTGCAGCGTCGGTGGCGACTCGTACAGGCTTGAAATATTTTGCTGACATTTGCAGCTTTGTCATCGTTGACGTGGGTTCTGCTCTTTACTTTCTCATTTACATACTTATTTACTTACCGGCATTTACTTTTGTCTGGTCGTGTTAGCTGAGCACGACCTGTGTAAACAAAGTAGAAGCTATGTTTAATTTTTTATAGGCGAGAAATTGACTTTTTGAGTAATGTTCTGAGATAATTTTAAATTTGTTCTTATTTTGATATGCTTAATTTATTAGTTGTTGCGGAAGCCAATTTGAAACCAATCTGATTTGTGTAATTCAGATTTTTTTAGACTTGCTTATTGTCTAAAGGTCATATGTTTAAAAGAGTTTCTGCGCTAAATTTTGGCGTACATTGTGATTTTTTCGCTTGAATGTAGAAGCCTTGCCTTTTTTGTCTAAAGCTGAAATAACGTCAGCGAATTTAACGGAGGCCAAAAAATATCGGCAGTCCTTTTTTTGAAGGAGGATGACCTATCTTATGATTTTAATACAAAGTGTATTCGGGGGATAACTGCTATACGAGTTTTGGCTCGTCCAGGCTATGAAGTGATTGAGATCACGTCACCAAAATCATCATTCCCCACCTGTCCCAGTTTTTACGTTTCCCTTTACACTCCATCACATTTGATTTACAAAAATAAATTACTTATACGCAATGGTGTTCGGTAGTAGATTTTTAATGCTATTTCTTACGCAGCAGTGATCATGCGCATGTGAAAATAAAATGCCGTTATAATTACATACATATGTGTCGAATTAAAAGCATTTGAAAACAGCTGCAAAGCGCAATTTTGTACATGTGGACTTAAACATAGCGTTTTTCTTCAACACATGAACTTGAGCTTTTCTATGGGTTCAGCCAACTGCATAAATAAGCAATAGGGATATTCTCTGAGTCTTGAAAAGCCCTTGCAGGGTGCACGGATTGCACGTTTTGCAAAGCTGTCCCATACGAAAACCGGTTTTAACTGTGCAATCCGTGCAATCTGTGCACCATGCATGGGCTTTGCAAGACTCAGAGAATACCCCTAATGTGCTACACAAATTATGTCAGACATTCGTGTGTACATACGTACATATGTAATTTACAAATTTAAAGTGAAATCTTCCTTGTGCATACTTCGCTAGCAACTCCTGTTAATGACCGTTAAGGGGCAACATACAAGTGAATGTCATTGCGCTTAACGACATTCGCATATAAAATCTTGAAAAGTGGACAAGCATATACAGTGACGAGCAAAACTGTAACATGGTGCAACAGTTTTTATTTCAGCCACCGCTATATTTCCAAGTTCTAAAGACTTTCATCCTTTTGTTGTATATTCTTGTTGGTACATCCCTGCTCCCTCTCTCATAACGATTTGAAGTCAATACATCAACAATAAAAAAACCAGCAGACAAAAATGTAAATTGAGGCAGATGTTACAGTATGAAAGTCATGGAGAACTTGGAAATATAGCGATGGCTGAAGTAAAAAGTGTTACACCACGTTACAGTTTTGCCCGTCACTGTACATATGTACATACACGGTATGTAACAGTGACCTTGAAAAACAGCCTTGGTTATAAAAACATGTAAATAAGAATGTGTAGAAAAGAACTGTAAATAATAAAAAGTTATTTAATGCTTCTTTAAGAGCTTACTTGTTTCTGCATTGTTGCTACTACTCCCTTAGCAACATTGTCGTTGCTTTGTCCTCCTATGCCTTTAACTTTATTTCAACTACATTTTCATCGTGACATCATCCTCAATAGGTTTATAATAGTTCTCTTTCGCACTTTCTTCGTGCCTCTATTATACTTTTCGTTTACATACATGACATAGTTGCATGAATAGGCAATCGTATTTAGTGATGAATGAGCCTCGACTATGTACATATGTATTGTATTTATTACAAAGCGAAAGTTGCTTTGGAGTTTCGAGGAAAAAAGGACAATTATCGCTTCTCACAATTTTCTAAGTACTTGACCGAACTTCTTGTATGAGGTTGTCATCTGGAGACCTACTGTTTCGGCTGCCTCTGGATATTCATGGAGTATATACACTGGTTTAAGATTAATCTGGGGGTTGACTTACCGTTTCAGGGTTTCGCTACTTCTGCTACTCAATTTTATTCTAATATATTAGTTTGAGATTTTGATACTTTGTAATATCGGGAAAAATATTCAGTGGTTCCGCTGGCCTTGAAGTTGTCACCTGGAGACCTACAGTTGAGGCTGCCTCCGGATATTTCTGGAGTAATCTAGGGATTGATTTTCCGTTTAATGTTTTTGCTAATGCTGCTGCTCAATTTTATACTTGGCTCTTCAAGTTTTCGAGAAAAATATTGAGTGGTTCTGCTGGTTTGGTCTTGGCATATGAGTCGACAGAAACGCTCCAGCTCTGAAAGTATATAATGCGGGTCGCGATGCTTGTAGCAAAAGAGAAAGGCCTCCTCTGCAATGAAAAAAAAACAGAGGAGAAAGCCTAGGCTTCACTTGGCGTTTCTAATTTGCGTCAGTTGGCGAGAATCATGGTTTGTGCTTCTGCCAATCAAGAAGATGAATATTTACTTTGGAATTATTTTATAACAATTTTTACTTTTTCGGTTAAATTATGTATTATTAACTTAGTTCTAAATATTCCACTTCTGAATTATTGCATAATTTAATTGAAATCGTATTATGTGTATGTGACAGCTCAGATTATATACAAAAAGAATTTTACTCCATTTTTTTCATTCTCTTCCTCTCTGGTTCCTAGGTATTCCGTTTACTATTGGAAGGTGTCGCGTGAGAATCGTCGCTGCTATATGGACTATTACTATATGGAGAATGGCAAACAAATGTATGGTGTCCCTTTGGGTGGTATTGGCGGCGGTACCATCGGCCGTGGATTTGCCGGTGAATTTTGTCGGTTTCAAATGCGTCCTGGCATGTACGAGTACAACGTGGTGCAGGCGAATCAATTTATTGTGACAATCAAAGATGCCAAGGGTTGTACGATATTTCAAAGTTTACTTTCGAGAAGTAGGTAAGTCAAACCACAACAAGATTATGTTTTCAACTAACTAAAACGCATTGAGTCTAACTAAGTCGCCTGAGCCCAATAATCCTCTAACCACGTAACCATTATTACACCTAACATGCTTTGTCTATATACTTTATGTGAATAATGATTTTGCTAAACATGCATGTGTGTCTTCGTTAGACTATTTGTATACATATTGGAACTAATTTTTTGTTTTTGTTGTCTCATATGTTGGATGACACATATTTTTCACACTTATATTACATTTACATTGGACCAAAATGTGTGATTTGAAATCAGTCATTTGAAGGTGTTTACACTGCTTGATCCGCATTTGCTTTGACTTCTCATCAAATGAAAAGGGAAGACAAAAACAAAATGTATGTAAACAAACACTACATTTATTATATTGTTAACGCTTTTTGGACACAAAAAGGCAATTATTCTTTGATTAAACTAAAAATGTGTAAAGCTCTTGTATAAATTAACAATTTTTACACACAAATTTCAAACATTTATTTATTTCGTTGTGTTTGTTTTGTGTTTGAAAAATTCCAAATGTCAAAGACAAACCAAAGCTTTTGTGGAACTTTTGTTTCTGAGTGCGTTCAATAAAATAGTACGGCAATTGGAACGCATTTGTTTCGTGATTTTGTGTAAATGCGTCGAAATGCGTCATTATGGAAATGTGAATTTGTATGGAGAAATGCGTGATTTGGCTTCGCATTTGGAGTTTCTCGCCCAAATGACGCATTTGGGCTCAATGTAAATGTAATATAAATGTAATATTAATTTTATACATATTCATGTTATTCACGGTGCTAGTTATCCCTTTCAACATGTTATCACTATTATTAATCCACATTTTCTGTAAGGATTTGTCACCGTTAGCGCCATTAGGTGTATATGTACGTACATTAGGGTGCATCACCAAAAAAAAAGAGTTGCGGGTTTTCCACCGAAATTATAAATTTGAATATATTTAAATAGTACCGCCAAAATATTTCGAAAAAATATTAAGATTTACGCAAGCTATACCGATTTCAAACTATCTCTAAATATCGCATTATTTTTATTCCATTGATATAGCTTAAACTTTTCTGTCATATGAGGTGATTTTTTTCGAAAAAATATTTTTTAAAACTAATTTCATTTGCGAAACACAAGATTTTTGGAGGTACAGTACCCTTAATCGCGACTTTCGATAAACGCGAAACCTCAATTTTCGCAAATAACATTTTTAGCATTGCAATAAATAAAAATAAATAAATCCGACAGTACGTATGTATTAGAATGAATGCCAAATATAAACTTTTATATGTAAACACATATTTTAAAATAGGTGCAGCTCACGTAAATCCTAATATTTTTGCGAAATATTCGTCTTAGAGAAGTCTTAAAATATAATGCATTTTATAATTCCGCTGGGAAAAACAGTATCAATTTTTTTTTTTTATGGAGAGTGAGGCACCCTGATATATATGTGTTTGTGAAGTACTTATTTGTTAAATTTGATTTTCTCGTGTCTGGGTATTATCGTCACGTTGCATGTTTAAGGAAATACCTTGCCCTTGACAGTTCCAGTTTTCTACCCGATTTTATTCGGAATTTTCTTTTTCACGTGCGTGCTTCTTTTTCATTAATTACTCAATAATCATGACTTATTGTGTTCAGCTGGAAACCTGAATTTATTTTTAGTATTTCGCTCAAGTAGCTAAAAATTGATCGATTCAATTTGATTCATTAAAAACGTAAATGGAAGTGTTGGTAGCGTGTACGCAAGCCAGAAATGCATATGCATTCAAATCTTGCACATGTATTTAAATATATAATTGTTAATAAAAAACTACATTAGAAGAAAGTAATACAGTAATACATATAAACTTAAAACATTTGAATCGATTGAAATACGAAAAAAGGGAGAAACAAGTAATTAAAAAAAAAATTAGATAAGCTTTTATTAGTCGGTTCATTTACAGAAGCAATTTTCGTATAAATTGTTTTAATAATAGAGACTTACATACATACATATGTTGGTAGGTATGTACATATGTTAGGGCGGGTCAATTTGTATGGGAGATTTTTTCGACTATGCGGATAATGCACAGAAGGACTCTACGTGTAATTTTAAGGAAATTTGCGAAGAAGAAATAATGGGTCTGAAATCCAATTTGGATTTTGCCAAATTGCGATAATAGGTTTCTTAGCATTTTGCTGTAGTGTCGTAAAGAAGTGCCTAAATATTGTATAAAAACATGCTATAAGGGGTTTTTTCGCATAAGGAATCCATTCATGCACTTATCTTTTTTTTAAAACTTCCACTAGAGGGCGCAACAGTGAAAATTTTCACATTTTCTTCGAAACCTATTTTAGCAATTTGGCAAACTCCAAATTGATTTTAGGCCCATGGTTTCTTCGGAAAGTTTGCTTAGAATTGCACATAAAATCCTCCTTGCTATACGCGCATAGTCAAAAAAAATTGCCCGCCCTAATGTATAATGCATACAGATGAGACGCTCTAAATAAGTTTGCTAAGAAAAATGGTTTTATTGTTTTTAAAAATATTCTCCAGCATGATTTACACACTTTTGCAAGCGCCACAGGGAAGTCGGTACCTGAAAATGTGGTTTTTGAAGCGTCAACAGTTTCTACTGACATTGAAAATGTTTCTTCTGCCATTGAAAATCGTTCTTCGTACAGAATCGATAATAAATCATTAGGTGCATAGTCAGGACTACACGGCGAATGATCCAGCAAATCAATATTTTGAATGCTTAAAAAATCATTTATTTGGTGAGATGTTGCGGAGCTCCCATTGTCATGCTGAAAGGCCATTTATCGTATATTTCGTTGTATTCCCTGGTTTTCGGACCACTCAGAGTTAAGTGTGCGACATTCCCCTAACGGCACTTTAGCCACATGATCCGTTCTTGCGAAGGAACAAGCGACAATTTGTTTCGAAGGGCTTCTTGTGCAAACAGCTTTTGTTGGCTTTTACTTATTTTGAAAGACTCGATACAGATTATGTTTATTTCGTTCGCGAATTTGTGCAGTTTGTCTGCACCAATCGAGGTGAGCCTTTTTTTAGCAACGCGCATCTGACTACGTAGGTTTTTGAAGACCAAATTGTCGTGCAATTGTATACATATATGGTGAAGCACTAATGCATATGGCTGCCTCAATCTCAATATATGTATGTATGTATGCATGCATGTCACTCGGCGATCTTCCATTATCATCTTGCGCACAACGTCGATTTTTTTTTTTGTCGTATTGAACGATGCTGTCGATATTCATATGCGAGCGAAATACGATAACACCTTTTTCACCTTTCTGAAAGCTACCATTCATGGTAACCAGGATTGGTTTTGGCCCTATTTCAAACATTTTAGATAATATGCACAGTAGGACTTAATGAAATAATTGAATCGTATTTGGTAGAAATCGATAAAGCGGAGATGAACTTATGTAGTCACATAAGTGGGCAGTGCCCCCATTTTTTAAGTTTGTTATACTCGAATTTCTTGCTAAATAAGGAATTATTCCGTATATCGATTTTGAGTAAATTTGCTTTGATTTACTGATTCATAGCAGTTTTAGAACTCTGTATATAAACTACCGTTATATGGGAGGTAGATGTGGTTATAGTTTGAATTACAATACCATCCGTCCTTAGCTCAAAAGAAATACACGTACCAAGTTTCATTAAGATATCTTAATTTTTCCTCGAGTTATCCTGTGCATAAACGGAGGGACGGACGGACATGGCTAAATCGATTTCCTTTTTCATTCTGAGAATCTATCTGTATTCGCGGGTATAAAAATTACAGATTTTATGATGCAAACGTCAGATCGACTAAAATGAGGCTAATGGCAAAGAAGGGAGTCATTTTATTATTTAGTGCCCCTCGTAATATTGATTATACAGAAAAATTACTTTTGGAAAAATTTAAGTTTCAAAGTTGTCTTAGCTTCTTAGCAAATAAGCCCGGTTATTGCTCCGAACTCTATTGAATGGCATTATTTTCTTCATAGATACGCACTGTGTGAACAAATACAAGCATACCCAACTTATGTAATACAAAGTTTGTGTTGCAAGAAATCTGCAAAGTCCTAACTAAATAGTCACGACAAGCCAAATCCAATTTAACCGTCTATGCATATGTACATAAGAAGTCGTATATAAATGTGTACGCAGCAATGTAAATTCCTCAACTCACACCCAACTTGTTTGGCGAATTAGCACTCTGGAACATATTGACTAACGAAAGTTTACACTTTTGCTTATGTAAATGTGACTCGCAGTTGTGGAAAGGATTTCATGTATTCAATATTTCATGTTGTTCATTATAACTTAGTACAAGTAAAATTTTTAGTACTTATTTGTCAATAAATTTAAAGAGAAGACTTTCAAAACTTCAGCATTTGGACTGGTATCGGAAATATCTCAGTTTAGCAACTATGGTATTCTACGTTTTTATTCTTTTGGTTTCGATCAATCTTTGAAAATTACGATTCTATCTAATCTACATTTCGATCGTAGTTACTTTTTTTTAAGTTGCAGATTCGTTTGCGCATCAAATTTGCCCAATCTGCATCAACTCCGTGTTGGTAACTGCCTTTCACAAAAATTTCAAAAGCAGCCACTACTCGGTTAAGCGGTGATATCGATGTTAGCTTATTTGATCGAGTTTCTTCCGCAAAAGTATCCAAGGCACTCTTTAAGCGTCCTTATTAGGCCGAAAGTTTTTATTTGTCTAAAAATAAGAAGTCAATTTCTTTTTAGTTGTTTGTGTTTCCGACAGGGTAGGAGTATGATGTATTCTGAAACGATTTTCCGTCATCCCTTGTCAAATTGGGTTTCGAGACAAACCGGTTTCGGCATTATACCATCTTCAGTGTCATTTTTCGTTCTGAATCAGTTTGTCTTCCATTCTTACGATTATCTTTCCACTAGAATTAAAAGCAACAGAAACTTTATCTTTATGTTAAAATGATGCCCCCGTTTTCCATCCACCAATGGCGAAGCCGGTCTGGTATGCAACTCACGCGTTATAAATGTGACACTGCATGAAGAACGGGACAAATATTTTCGTAGAATAGTGAAAAATTGGGCAATGGATTCAGTGAAAGCCATGAATATTAAGAGCGTAGTTTTTAAGTGCTATTTGACCTTTTTGCTTAATGGACTGCATAAATATTAGTGAAATGTTGTGCTGAGTTGATAAAAGACCTTTAAGGCGTTGGTTTAATCCACTTTCGCTAGTGTTTTGATAGCTTTTTCGCAGAGTTAGGGTCCAGTCTCCACATAAGCATATTTTTAGGGCGGAATACACTTCATAGATCTATTAGCAATATAACCACATAAGCAATGTATACTGACGATTTTAACTTAGGTAAGTTTCGGTATTAATGCTTTTGTAAGGCATCTTGAAGATGTGCTGAGTTATTTGTCACGTTTTAGAGGCATGATATGCATGTTGTTCCAAGCTGAATTCATCGTCCCAACATTCTCTAATAGAAGCACAAAAACATATCGTCGTTTAAAGTAAAAAACCGCGTATCGTCATTCTGCAAAACCGCGTAACAGACATTGAAGGGGTTACAATCAAAAGGATCTAAGTAGGTCTGATATTTTTTTGAGATAATTAAGTTTAAAGTCGATTGTAAATTCTGGGTAAATGCATTTGAAATTACTTTTGCCTAAATGAATGCAGGTTAATTAACTAACCTCTTTGTCGCCAAATACACACTATATTTAACTATACAAATATGAGTATGACTTATATTTTCCAAAAATGTCACTTAGACCCTTATGGTTCTAGCCCCTTCATTTGCTGCCAAAAACTGGATTTGCTCACACAAGCTCTTGGCTCAATCCTTATCCATTCGTCCTGAAATGTACTAGCCAGAAATGTGATTACTTTATAAAAACAGATAGCCATTTTGAAATCTGAGTATTTTCACTCTCTAGAAAATAATTTATGCAGCCTCACATACGCGGTTTTTTCATTATCTTGATACGCGGTTTTGCATTTTATTGATACGCGGTGTTGTACTTTAAACGAAGATATAAGCCTCGTATGTTTATTAGAACTAGTTACTTTTTAATATTTAGTATTCCACTTCTGATTTATTTTATATCTTAACGTCCATTGATATTGCCCCAACCGTTTTAACAGTTTATTTTCTATTTTTAATGTTTATGCCCCCGCGTAGTTGTAATTTAGAATAACACACCTATGTACTTACGTATTTTGATGTTCTTGTATTAAGTTCGTGTTCAGTTGTATCGTCTTACTGTTAAGTTTAAAAAACAACCAATCCTTGAAGCTAACACAAAACATGATAAAGTTTTCAACTTTATTTGCAATTGTGCTTTTTAATTTATTTTTCCATATTTTATCTTATTCTCTTTTGTGCAAAATCACACGCTCAAAATTTACTTGCACACACCCGCTATTCGAAATTTGATTTGTGTGCTAAATTTTATTTGCCTACGACCGAAAATTTTCTGCACCACGGACTTCAATGCCGCCAACACCTACACTACAATACACATGTTGAATTGGGGAAATGGTAATCCAATTTCAAAAACAAAAATGCATTTGGATTGATATTTTGCGTGAATCTTTGGTTCGCGTTTACCTTTTGTTGCTCATCGTTTAATATCAACTTTCATCGCACATTTATCAAATCCATTAATTATTTTCGTATAAATGTATCACTCATCTCTTCTCGCCTCATTTTGCTCATCATTCGAATCGCTCACCTGCCGCAAAATCAACTCCAAATTCCCCTCCTCCTGCTCCCAATCAAACCACCGAACAATCCATATCCACCGCGTAGCTCCCTCGACAGCATCAACTCTCAATGTACAAGTAATATGCCCAATTGCAGCAGTCGTTCCAAGCAACCGCTAAATGCCTGGCACTCCAACATCGACGACACGAAATGCTCATACACAGGTCTCTATCCGCGCGCCTGGACCGAATATGATCTCACTGCGTACGGCGTGCGACTGATTTGTCGTCAGATTTCGCCCGTCATACCGCACGACTACAAAGATTCATGCCTGCCATGCGCCGTCTTCGTGTGGTCTGTGGAGAATGTGTGCGCGGAGGAGCGTAAGGTATCCATTACATTCACCTTCAAGAATGGTACCGGCACCAAGAAGCAGGATGCCGAGGGCGGCGCTGAGGCGGTGCTCATATCGCAGGGCAATGTGAAGGGCGTAGGCATACGACAGAAGATCGCTGGCATGCCATGCACCTATAATTTGGGTTGTCGCGTATTGCCCGAAATCAGTATTACACGCTGCACGCAGTTCGATCCGAGCGGCACGGGAGAGCAGCTATGGTCCGATTTGAAGGAGAACGGACATCTTAGTGAGAAGCATTGCGATGAGGCGTTGAAAAGTGAGTAAACAATTGGAATGGTGGAAGAGCTACATATGTAACTGTGATTTCAATGCATGTTTTACTTATTTTTAAAATAAAATACATATTTTGTATTACACTGCATCTGCATTAATATGTTTCCTATTTTCCTTCACCAGCCAAGGATCTCGGTGTTGCTTTATGCGCACAAGTTGCAGTCAAACCAAATTCTAGTCATGATTTGGAGTTCGTATTAGTTTGGGATATGCCACACATACATTTCCCAAAGAAGCACAAAAACTATACGCGTTACTACACAAAATATTTTGATGCGTCTGGCGAAGCTGGTCCAAAGATATGCGAGTATGCATTGAAGCACTATGGCAGCTGGGAGAAATTGATTGATGCTTGGCAGCGTCCTATACTTAATGATGAGTAAGTTGTTGAATGCTATTGAATATCAGCACGTATATTAATGTGTGTATTAAGTATAAGAAAACATGTTAAATACTTCGAAAAATTGTTAATTTTAGTGGACTGCCCGACTGGTACAAATGCGCCATATTTAATCAACTCTATTATATTTCGGATGGCGGTACAATTTGGCTTACTTGTGATTCCTCATTCGGCAAGGAATTGAACTATGATGACCCCAGGTATGTAGTAAACGAATTAAGTTTTTCAGGTGTTCAGCGCTTTTTACTCAGATATACGCTAAAAATCAGGAAATCGCTGAACGCCTGCAAATCTGGTTGAAGATCTATCTAGGATCTTAACGGAACTGATTTCAGACGAAAGTCTTCAATGTCACGACCTAAAAGATATGAACCAATATAATGCTCTCTAATTGTTTTTTTTTTTTTAATTTACAGTTAACCACTAATACTATATGTACGTTTTCTTTTTCAGGTTGGCTTACGGCCGCTTTGGCTATTTAGAGGGCCACGAGTACCGCATGTATAATACTTACGATGTACATTTTTATGCTTCGTCAACGCTCTCCCACCTCTGGCCCAATCTACAGGTGAGCTGTTTTTCATGCATACATAACTGCACCCTTTTTATCTCCGCTTTAATAAAATTCCTTCTTCGGCAGGTGAGCCTACAATATGACATACGCGACGCCATTGAAGTTGAATTGCCCGACACGCGTAAAATGCTTTACGATGGAAAAATTCTACCACGCCATATTAAAAATTGTGTACCCCATGATCTCGGCGATCCTGATGAGGAGCCATTCACACTCATTAACTGTTACAATATACATGATGTGAATCATTGGAAGGATTTGAATACGAAATTTATATTGCAAGTCTATCGCGACTATTATGTACTGAACGAATTGGCGCAAGCACAGGCGGATAATGCTAGCAAATTCAGCTCGATTGAGTTCATCGATAAGGATAGTCTGTATGAAATATATACGCAGGATAATAAGCGCAAGAATTCGGCGGACGAGAAGCAGCGTAAGAGAAATATGTTTGTGTATGTTACTTGAAGATTTTTTTAATAGGTGTTAAGTTGGTTTGATTATTTCTAGAGTTTCTTCCCTTTTTATTATAAATCCGTGCTTAAGTTCCTGAAATTTTTTTTTTTAAGTTTTATTAGAAAGATTAATGTATTTTTTTTTTTTTCAATTCAAACATTATTTTTACCATTTCCAGAAAATCGCAAATCCGCATCGTTGTACATCAATGAAACGAACGGCAAAGTTTATCTTATGGATGCCATGGCTTACTTGAAGGCAATGTATCCAGCATGTAAAACAATTATGGAGCGTACCATAGAATATGACACAGATAATGATGGACTAATTGAGAATACGAAATCGCCAGATCAAACGTACGATACCTGGGTAATGGATGGACCTAGGTAAGTGTGAAAAGAAATTTACATAACATATAATTTTAACATTCCTTTTTTTCCTTTATTTCAGCGCCTACTGTGCAGGCCTATGGCTCGCTGCCTTGCAAACCATGTCGGTAATGGCTACGCTGCTGGATCAGCCCAACGATTGCCTTCGTTTTCAGGATATATTGGAGAAAGGCAAGCGTTCTTTGGAAGAAAAACTATGGAATGGCAGTTATTACCGTTTCGATATGCACAACAAGGACACTATAATGGCCGATCAATTGTGTGGACATTGGTATCTGAAAACATGTGGATTCGATTATGAAGTGAGTTTCATTAGTTCAATTTATACATACCGAATACAATTTCTGCTCACCTTCGTTTCTGTTTCACAGGTCTATTCAAAGGAGAATGTACGTGCAGCTTTAAAAGAAATCTACAAAAATAATGTTATGGGTTTCTACGGCGGCAATATTGGTGCAGTCAACGGTTTCATTGCTAATTCGGATCCTGAAAAACCAGGCCACGCCGATTACACCACTTTACAAAGCGAGGAGGTATGGCCAGGTGTTACTTTTGCTTTAGCCGCCACTATGATACAAGAGGTAAGTCTTTGTAAATTATGTTATTAGTCGTTTAATCGTATACGTTATGTATCTACATACGTATGTATATACATATGTATGTATGTAAATGCATATGTGTACAATGAAATAAAAGCCTGAAGAGACAAAACCATTTTTTGTTAGTATAGAAAAAGAATTGTGTTGAACTGGTTTACTAAGTTTTTTTGTTGTGTTGCTTAAATCATTATATGCATAAAAAGCTTTTTGGTTTGTCTAACGAAATTATTTTTAAAATAGATAATTCGTAAAAATTTAATAGAATATTTAAAGTGCTAAAGTAAACTACATGTAAACTAGTTACATATGTACAAATTTTTATAACAAACTGCATTCAGTCAATTAAAATGCAGCTCCTATTATTTTACATAATAAACGAATCAAAAAGTTTTTACAAAAATAAGCTCACATTAAAACACTAACAACAAACAACCATATGTAAATGAGTGGGGCATCGTTCTTTTCTCATCGCTTCAAAGGGTTTTGTTTCTTTTGGCAACTCAAAAAGGAGGAGGAGGGATGATGATTTCTTTAAATTTGTCATTAATTCAAGAATAGTGCAAAATTTGTCACACAACCTGGCCCTCTCTCCCTATATTCGCCGCACACAAAAATGCATGTGATACTTCAAGGTGCCGAAAAGAGTAATTTTTATGCGTTTTTCTTAGTTTGCACAACTTAAGGCCACTTTTTTTTTTTGTAAAACAATTTATAAATTCCTTCAAGCGACAAATATTTGTGGTTATTTTTATTGATATTTTACTACTGCTAAAATTAAATTGCTAAATAAAAAATGTATATTAGAAAAACTCTTTTTGAGTATTTTATTTAACAATGAGATTTAGGTAATACAAGTACACTTGTTTTTAGAAATTAGTAATTAAAAACTCTGATAAAGTTGGCTTCAATAACACAGTAGGGGGGGCAAAAATATCACAGCTAAACGACCAAACACATAAACTTAATTTTGGCCTCTATATTACGATGCCGTTTTCAGAAAATCCTTACCGCGACAGTGAAATAGAAATAGTGTACAGCCTAATAAAAGTAAGAAATATTACGAAATAAAATATGAGTTATAAAGCAAAACCACATATCTGAACAATCAGTTGTATGGGTGCTATATGTGGTAATGAACCGATTTCGATGATTTTTAGAAATAGTTAAGGTGATATCAAAACTTACACTGAGGAAATCATTAACAAAAAAGTTAAAAGTTATGCAAATTTTCAAGCACCGTTATGGCAAAAACTGGAGCTAATCTGGCAAAACGGGGGACGCCATTGAACTAAGAAGGTTCCAATTAAGTAAGGTCGGCTACCAAAACCTTTGCTCAAAAACAGTTCAAAACCTGAGCACAGTGTTATAAGCGACGAAAGTTTCACCGTCAGAGTTCTAAAACTTGCCTCCTAAATATCTCAAAATTTTGACGTGATACGGATTTTCTGAAAGCGGCATCGTAATCTAGAGGCCAAAATTAAGTTTACGTCTTTGATTGTTGAGCTGTGAAATTTCTAAAGTTTAAAATTTACCTACAGTCTTATAGCCTCGGCTACGTGTATTCTTTTAATCGTTTCCTTGAAGAGTATTAAAATTATTAGCTACATAATTAAAAAAAAAAACCAAGTAACCACAAATATTTTAAGCTTTAATTCATTTTATATATTGCTTTAGAAAAATTATCCAAAATACATTCGAGACAGCTAAGAACACGCATACAAACTCTATTTTCGGCACTTGAAAGTTTCACATCTATTTTTGTATGCGGCAGCTTATTTAGCTGAAAATTTTAGTCAATAAAAAAATACATAAATTTGTTCACAACATGGTTAAAGAAGCGATACATAAAAAGGTTAAAACTATGTATGTATGTCATGGTCATCAATACAAAACGCCCGAAATGAGTTTTTTAAAAGCGGTTTTCTTCATGAATTTTCTAAGAAATAAATAAATTTTGATTTTTTTTCAAGTATCGTTTTCGTCGGATTTCCACTCACCAATAAATGACCAAAATTTTAATGACAGAGTTGGCATTCAAAAATACCCAATACGTCTTTACGTTGATATATGAATGTAAATAGCTATTGATTCTCGCATGGCTCTTTGAAAATGGTTTACAATTTTTGTCATTTCGTGCCTAATGGAAACTCGGCATACGACATTTTGTAATGGTGACTATGTACATTAGGGCGGGTAATTTTGTTTTTACTGTGCGCGTATAACATTTTACGTTTAAATTTGCCGAAGAAACCATGGGTCTAAAATCAATTTGGAGTTTGCCAAATTGCGAAAATAGGTTTCGAAGAATATGTGAAATTTTTCACTGCTGCCCCTCTGGTGGAAGTTTTAAGAAAAAGATAAGTTCAGAAATGGATTCCTCATACGAAAACAACCCCTTCTAGCATGTTTTTATACAAAATGTATGCACTTCGTTACGACACTACAATAAAATGCTAAGAAACCTATTTTCGCGATTTGGCAAATTCCAAATTGATTTTAGACCCACGTTTTCTACGGCAAATTTACTTAGAACTACACGTAGAATTCTTGTGCGCTATACGCGTATAGTCGAAAAAATCTCCCGTACAAATTGACCCGCCCTAATGTTCATTTCTAAAGGATTTTGTCGCATGTATGCATCGTTCACACCCCAGCCAGCAGAGAAACGTAAGCAAAGTACAGAAAGGTCTTCAATTTTCGTATCCGAAAAACAGTGCGGCTTTCGTACTCGGAAACGTATAGAAAATTACATCCATTTTCGCTAATTTCACCGGCACATAAAAAAAAAGTGGTGTGTGCTTTTAACAACACCCACCAACCGACTGGTATTTCGACCCTTTGAATCCGAATCTGAGGTCCGTTCGTATACCCTCAAAATTCCTAGTAAATTTCGAATTTATTGCCATTTTTTCACAATTTTCGCAAATAACCCGAAATTTAGGAGTACGAGTCAAACGGGCCTCAGATTCGGATTCAGTGGATCGAAGTACGTGTCGGTAGGTGGATCTGGTTAAAAGCACATACGCCTTTTTTTGTGTGTAGGTGTTTTTAGTATCCGAAAAACATTCCTAAAAGATCACGTCATTCGAAAAAAAATAATTTTATTTAATTTGTTTTATATTTTTGGCCAATGTCTGTGCTTAAACAATTCTCTCTTTACAAGGGATAATCACTAACCAATTTTGTCCTTAGTGGAGTTTATAGGTTATTCTATCTCGAAGGACATATATAAGGAATTTATACATACAAAATGTGTATTTTCACATATTACAACATGCATATTTTACTACACAAACTTAAAAAATCATTTTACCAAAAAATTTATTTATTTTAGGGCATGTTTGATGAGGGCTTCCAAACCGCTGGTGGACTCTACAAAACGCTGAGTGAGAGAATTGGTATGAATTTCGAGACGCCAGAAGCGTTATATGGTGAAAAGCACTATCGATCAATTGGTTATATGAGACCGCTAAGCATTTGGTCCATGCAAGTGGCTTGGGAGAGAAGAAAAGCGCTACGTGACTAAAGAAGAGACGACAAAGCAATTTCATCCGTTTTAAATATAATGACATGTTTACAGTTTGAAAGCATTTTCAGCGTGCAGCTAATACAGCTGATATGAAAACTAAAAGACACAGCATTAAAGGCAAAAGAAAATGGTTTTTTTTTCACCATGTCTCACGGCTCATATAACACAAAATTCAGTGCAAAAATGTATGGATGTATTGCTACGAAAAAAAGTACAAGTTGTTAAGCTTACTATATTTGTAAATGTCATAAATTTGAAAGCATTTTGTAAAACGTTTTTAATTTTAAGTGGATATTCCCATTTTGAAAATAAGCTTAGCTAAGACACGCTTACAAACCAATGATTAAGAAATGATCTATGTAACTAGTTGTAGTTGTGAGAGCACAAGATTTGATATTTTTACAGATGCGAGCAAACTTTGATTTTGCGAAAGTACAAAAAACGGGAAATAAAGTCGAACCAAATTTAAAAATGCACTTGTTGAGAGCGAGCTTACGATTATTTCATAGTAAAATTAATTGTATGCTTATAAAATGTACTGCATATGAATGCATGTGTTAGGTGTAGCTAGGATTGTTTGAGAATCTAAGAGTAAGAAGGAGCTAGCAGCAAGAGCTTTTTGTGGAATTGCAATATAGATTTTATTTCATTCAAAAAAGACACTACTATGTTTACAAGTTAAATTTTTTTTAAGCAAATCTGGGAAACAAAATTTTATGAAAGCTACAAATGGATGGCACTCCATCAAAAGTCCTCAAAATATGAGGCAAAGACGTTAATGCCGACTTCACAATGAAATGAACTATTCAAAATAGGTTCCTTCTGTGGAAGAGTAACTATCATTCATTTGACTTATAACCGCAGGATCTAAAGAGAAAATCAAGTACACTTTTTAGATGTTTTATCTTCAGAATCAACAGTATAAGTATTCAGCATGAGATAACCAATCTGTGTATTAGTATTAACAATGAAAGGCAGTGCAATAAAATGATGTGACTGTTTTTAAGATGGAAATGCTTGCGCCACTCTTCCGGCCCCAGAACGGGTATTGCCATTTTCTTTTATTAGTTTTATATAACATTTGGTCAACAAATAAGTGTGTAATTAAAAGGCTTTAAATTTAGTTTAATAATAAATTACTCATTTAAAAAACACTGAAAGGGTAAATGGCAAAAGCGTGTCTAAAACAAGAAACCTATTATTTGTAAAGTATTATTTCACAAGTCGGAAACTACCATTTAGTTTAGTTCCTATTTCTCTTTATTTCGACTATAAAAATAATTACTTAACTTTTTAGTTTAAAAAAAAAATATATATTTTTAAGCATATTAGCATTTAGTTTAGCATTAAAGCCAGCAAACAAAAAAGAAAACGGCATTATCGAAGCACAAAAACTCGTACTACTAGTAGTAAGTGCTATCTGTTAATTTTATATACAAAACAAAATGCATATTTACCTTCATACATACATACATACAAAATGTATACTGTTGCCTTGTTCAAAACGCTAATCTTCAATCATACACGAATATTATATGTATTTAGGTGTGTATCGGTAATGATGCTAAAAGGGGTTCTAAACCAAAAAAAGATATTTCAATCGAGAAATCAAGGCAAAAATTATTTACAAATATCTCCAAGAAAAAGTATTTTTGAACGAATAGTTGCAGCGAAAAAAGTTATTTGTGTATTTAATCCGTGTATTGAAAAAATCGCATATTTATGATGTTAAATAAAGAAAAATATGTATTGAAAATATTCAATGAGTTTTCCTGATAATTGCGATGGAACAACACGAGATTGTTAAATTTTCTGAAACATTTCCCAAATCTAGGTATAAATATATTAATACGCTAATAAAAATTTTGTCAGCGTTCGTTTGGCGATTCTACCGAACCGATTTGAAAACCATTGGAAAGGTATTTCTCTATAGATGAGGAGTTTTTATGGTTTCAATATTGGTTGAAAATTACGGCCAAAATCGTCGTTTAAAAATTTACGTATTTGTGTATAGTTGTTGTTGCCATCTGTTCAATTTCAGTTGTTTTCGCATTTGATTTCACTTCGTATTTGTAATTAAACTATGTAATAAAGACAAATGTGATGATGAAGAAATAAATGATAAACATAATGAATAAATGATGACAAAAAAGGCACCATGAACCATTAATCGAACAAATTTTTGATTCGAACCGAAAACCTAACCACTGTTCATAAACTGGCGCGTTACATTTTATGATTTCCGAACTGTTGAACCGAACCGAAGCCCCGGTTCAAAGACCAAAAAACCGCTTTGACGAACCACTCCAAAAGTGCAAAAACGGTTCGAACCGCTGAACCGAACCGACGAAATTTTTCATCCGGTTCCCCTCCCTGCAAAAAAGTAAGGCAAAGTTCAAGAAAGAGACGAAAATTAAAATTATGAGAAATACAGGAGTCGAAATAAATTCAGACGTAAAAAAATTTAGTTATCGAAAGTTATGAAGTAAGGCTAACTTCCAAAATGTCATTTGCAATGCATACGTCGTAAGCATCATATTCCGTATTGTAAGAGTATTGTTTTAAACTAGGCATAATTATATATTTGCATATACGTAAATGCTACTTTTCTGCTGCGTTCAAATATGTGGTACATACGAGTAGATACAAAAAAGTAGGGGCGCGTTCAGAAATGCATCAAGCCAGTTTTCCGGTTTTGAAATTGATTTTTGTTGTTTTGTTTTATTCATCTTATGCTTCATATATTCAGAGTACTATGATATTGCCAAAATTAAGGGATGTGGCCAACCTTTTCAAGCTGAGAAGTAATAGATCGCCATTTCATTCCCATGACAGCCGGTTCTACGTACCGGAAGGACTCGGGTCTTACCCGACCAAGGGCAGTTGTTTCGGCGATCTAACCCCGTTTAGGTCGGCGAAATCCATCAAACGTTGCTCGATTCTAGGGCTACATCTGCTCCGTATCCTTCTGCTCAGGGCTGGTATAGAGTCTAACTCAGGGCCAGAAATTTACACCAGCTGCGTATGCCAGAGACGACTGCATACAAACTCCACCTCGGTCAGGTGCAATGCCTTTGACGGGTGGATTCAACCCTGTTGAATTGCGCCGGATACAACGTGCACCGTCGAGATCGCGAGCGAGACAATGGTGGAGGTTTAGCGTTCATCACGCACCACACCGTGCAGTATTGTCATCTGACCCTAGCATCAGACCATCTGCCCATAGTCATCTCGATTGATAAACCTTCCGACTTTACTTCCGTGGATCACCGGACCTATATCAACTTTTTTAAAGCTGATTGGAAAGGCTTCGCGGAATTCACTGCACTGCCCATACCAACCGACGTCCACCTTGGTGAACGTAAGTTCCGCAGGGTTGTCACTGCTGCTGCAGCTCGCTGCGTACCGGCAGGATGCATTACGGACCCCCTTCCAAACTTCACTGCTGAAGTGGCTTTTCTAGCCGATGAGCGTGACAACCTTCATCGGGCCGATGCCGGAAATCCCCTTATAAGGAATCTCAACGCGGAGATTCGGCAGCTTGTGAACGTACATAAGCGTGACGACAGAGTCGAAATAGACTTTGGTGACCATGCTTCGTCGGACCCGGAGCGATGCGCGAGCTATTTTAGCCGGCAGTTCATTCTGCATCCTCCGTGGATAAAGCCAAGCGTCGAGTGACCAGAAGGCTGCACACCTCTTGTTTTCACCAGCGGTGAGGTAAGGGTAGTAATCGAGAATGCGAAAGCCTCCAAAGCTATTGCATGTTGATACTGAAAAATTTAGGTCCTGCGGGAGTAGCGTACCTAACGGAGGTCCTCAACCTGTCTATGGCCACTCTCGTCATTCCAGACATCTGGACGATGGGGAGAGTGGTCCCACTGCTCAAATCGGGGAAACCAGCCAACAAAGGAGAGTCTTATCGCCCGATAATCCTCCTTTCCCCGGTAGCGAAGACACTAGAGGCCCTGCTACTCCCGTATTTTACGAACCACCTGACCCCAGCGAAGCATCAGCATGGGTTCCGATAAAGTGCATAGCACAACAACAGCACTTAACGCCATAAACACTCAGATAGCTCGTGGCCTTAATCGAAACCGCCCCTGTGAGAGAACTATTCTAGTAGCGTTCGACCTGTCCAAGGCGTTCGACACTGTCAGTCATTCAACGCTACTAGAAGATATAGAGGCCTCCTCACTCCCACAGGGACTCAAACGGTGGTCGGCGAATTACCTGAATGGTCGACACTCGTCAGTAATTTTCAGAGACAAAGCCAGCAAGCTACGTAAAATTAAAAAGGGGGTACCACAGGGTGGTGTCCTGTCCCACTACAATGGACTCAAGTCGCTGGCCGGCAGCACTTGGGGCAAAGATAAAGAGACGTTGTTGGCAACATGCTTGCAGAAGAGACCTCGCCAAGGCACGTCAGAAGGCATCTCTACGAACTGAGGGACGAAGTCCAGAGGTTTATTAAACAACCTCTGGACCCACCAACTTACCGACAGGCCCTGAACGGCATTCACAGGGAATCAGTCTCAAGTTATGTAGACTCCCGCCCTAGATATGGAACTAATCCCCTTTTTTCTATGTTCTTCATGTCTTTTTTACACGATTTTGTCTGGAACATATCTACGGTGTAAAAACAAAATTAGGTGTATACCAAGAAATCTAAAAGTTCGATCGAAAATGTTTTAAATCCTTCTTAATTTATTGAATTCAGAAGTCTGGTTAAGCTGCTAAGCAGAACTTTAAGTCTTAAAGAAGTTAAAGTACATAAATATGGACATACAGTACTGGACATATCTATAGCACCCCCCTTTCAAAGCGATATTGTTTGCCACTTATGTTTAATTATTTGTTTTTAAGAATTTTCAATTACCAATGTTTTAAACTTTTTAAAAGACCGCAAAAAAGTGCAACAAACTTTACCTTAAATTTCAAACTTTTTTCTCAGAAGCTCTAGAAATTTTTTGAGTACACAGATTTATAGCGCATTCAATTTTGTCCAATAATGTGGAAGTTTCAAGTCGCTAAAGATTACCGTTGATTTTTTTAGAATTTTTGTGTCTCATTTGCTTCCATATAACGACTAAACACAATTTATTTTTATATGGCAGAAACCCGCAACATCCGCGGCGTAAAATTCTAAAAAATCAACGGTAATTTTTAGCCACTTGAAACTTGCACATTATTAGACTAAAATTGAATGGGCTATAAAACTGTGTATTCAAAAAAATTCTACCGCTTCTAAGAAAAAAGTTTGAAATTTGGGTGAAAATTTGTTGCACTTTTTTGCGGTCTTTTAAAAAGTTTAAAACTTGAGTTTATGTGAGTTTTGTGAGAGAATGAACTGTATTTTAATTGAAAATTCTTAAAAATAAATAAATAAACATGAGTGGCAAACAATATCACTTTGAAATGGGGGTGCTATTGTATTGGCCAATACTGTATGTATGTATGTATTGTTATTTACGGGTGAATATGCATAAGAATGTATATGTGTTTCTATGTACAGTCGGTGTCAAATGTAAGTTCCTGTTTCTAATATAATATTCACAATTATTTTCATGCAATCTTTTTTCAATAATTGCATTGTGCACCAAATTTCAAAAATTTGGAGGTGATGGGAATCGGACCAACAGCACTTCAGTAAGCTGGTCAAATAATGAAAAAGTACCAAAGGATTAGAAAAAGTTGGTTACCAACTTGAAGTTGACGAAAGAAGCTCCCAATGGCAACGTATAATTTAAAAACACTTTTTCCAAAGTTAACGGAGCGGGAAGGGGAGGGGATTTGAGGAGTTTTTGGCATATTGGTCTCATTCCCATCACTTTTTGAGTGTTGCACTGTGTTATTTATGAAAATATACTGGCTGTCCTAGAACACCCGTCCGTCCTCTCTAATAGCCCATTTCCATCAAACGCTGAACTGCAGTTAAGCACTCAGATAAGTCACGATAATTTTAACAAGAGGTGATCGGCAAGGTTTCTTTCATAACTTTTGTTTGTACTTAATATGAGCAACTACCTCCTCCAAGTTGTATTCTGCTTTTCGAATAGGCATAAACTGCAGTAAAGGCTTGGTGGAAATGAACTATAAAATTGAAGGAAATATTTTTTATTGAAAACCGCAAAAATTTCACCTACTAAATCGGGGATCTTCTATCTTTTGGTGGTATTACCGACTTCCGGTTTCCACCGTAAGTAGGTTAAACTGACCAGAAGTCCATTTTTTCAAATTATATATACATGTTTTTACTAGAGATTCGGATTCTAAGGATAAAAATACGTAACCTTTGTTTGAACATTTTTTCTCGGAAGTGCCCTTTTCAACCTCTTAATGACCTTCGAACTTTGTCGCGTCCTGAACTTCTTAAATGAGTGAAAATGTTTTGATTGGAAAACGAAAAAATATGAATGACCAAATCGAGGATGCTCTATCTTTTGGTCATATTACCGACTTTCGGTTTCGACCGGAAGTCCATTTATTTAAATGGGATATAGTACATATTTTTACCACAGATTCGGATTCTACCCATAAAAGTACATACCCTTTGTCGGAAACTTTATTCCGGTTTCGACCGGAAGTGGGTTATACTAACCGGAAGCCCATTTTTTCAAATCAGATATACTTGTTTTTTCTACAGATTCGGATTCTGTGGGCAAAAATACCCAACTTTTGTTTGAATCTTTTTTCTCAGAACTGCTACACTTTTCAACAGGAGTCCATAACAAGTTAAAGTTCGAAGTTTAAAAG